ATGAACATGAATTTCAACAATTAAGGCCAATTTGTATTGGCAATACCCTTATACTACATTTATTGTCATTTGCTCATTTAAAAAAAAGTTTCACTATCAGCCAGTTATTATCTCACCAAAAACAAAATAATTATCTCCTACAGGAATCACACTATATTTTTAGCTATCCATTGATGAATTACTGAAATCACTCCATTATTCTAGTAGCCCAAACATTGAAAGTTATGTGCAGAAGGGACAAGGAAGTCGAAAACAATCTATATAAATATTTCTACAGCCACAGAGAGGCAGGAAGGGGGAATGCTGACTCTGTGAGGTTCATTTCCACAAGTTCTCTCCCTCCTGTCTCATTTGCCAGGACTTCTCTTTGAATGATAGACCCAGATCTTTTCTCCATAAGCAGAGAGTCATGATGTTGATCCTCCTGGTGATCCTGTTGAACAAAACAGCTGCTCTGAGCTGTCCGGCAAGTGATGCCTTCCCTGTCCCTCATGAGTGGTACCAGCCTGGTGACCTCATCATTGGTGGGATGGTGTCCCACCTTTTTTATCACTTTTATGAAATTCCATTCGAACAACATCCTTTCCTAAACTTGTATGATTCACCAAAGTAAGGATTTTTCTTTGAATCATCTGACCTTACACACATTCCAATAATTGTTTACAATAGCTGCTTGCATAGAAAACACAGCGTTTTGTATGAAACGGTAAGAGTCCTTTGCATTTTGAAAGCTTTTTTGTTTCTAACGATCTTTATGTTTTTCTAAGGGCTTGTAAGAAAGTACATTTGTTAAGATTAAGAGTATCAAAAAGAAGAATGCTCAAAATCTGCACTGCCACTCTTCACAAAATATAAATAAAGAGGAGAATTTAGCAAAATCTGCTGGCATTCTATTTTTACTAAATGGATAGGGAATGATTGCGGTAGAGTAGAAGTTCTTTCATGTTTCTATCTGTTGCAGCCTATACTGACATGAATCAAAAAGGTTGACTCCGAGGGGTGTTAGAATATCGAATACACATGGGATGTTCCTTCAGAACTGAAAAGATTCATAAGAGCAAAATGTACGGGACTAGAGATAATCTCACCCTAAATCTCAAATTCTTTCTAATTCAGTAAAGTTCCTAAACATCTAAATCAACTGAAAAAAGAAGAAACAGAATACTTGCTGCCATCCCAGCCCAGTTTAAACTAAACACCACAGTTACAACTGTAGAAATTACTGTAATATGCAGTGTGCTGACTAACTTTTTAGAACTATATCAAGGAAAATACTATGTGCAAAGTCTATTTGGACTGATTACAAAAGTATTTAATATTTCACTCAGAGACAAAAATTTCTGCTGGTCATTTACAAACCATGAGCACACTGGAAGAATTTGCAAAATTATTTTTTGAAAGGCTGTGCTTAATCTATTGGCAGTGTAATCCCAAAATTCTACCAGCACGTCCTGGCCTTGGCCTTTGCTGTGAAGGAGATCAATGAGGACTCCCAGATCTTGCCTAACATCACTCTTGGGTTCCACATCTATGACAGTTACCATAAGCCAAGGATGACCTATCGCACCACTCTGGACCTGCTTTTCAAATCCAAGGAATTTGTTCCCAACTACAAATGTGACAGCCAGAAAAATCTCATGGCCATCATTGGAGCACTTGTCTCTGATACTTCATCCTATATGGCAGAAAGTATAAATGTCTACAAGATTCCACAGGTAGTTTCAGCCAGGGTGGGGGGTGAGAGAGAAACATTGACTTCTTTTGTAATTAATATTAGATATTTGCTTTTTGCCATGCCTTTCTTCAGGACTTCAGCTGAGTTCAATTTCCTCTCCCTTCTGCAATTTTTTCCACAAGTCAGTTAGTTGGCTCAAGGTAATCCACTCCAAAACCTCAAAATCTTTTATTATGATCATGGATCAAAAAATTAAAATGTAAAACAAAAACTACAGAACAACAAAATTACATTTATTTGAGGGGGTCAACTGACATCATGTTTTTGCCATCCAGCCAGCAATAGGTGGCAAGTCTCCTTGCTGTGTCTTGATTGGTGTCTAATCATAATAGCATAAAACTCAACTGTTTTGCCTCGGAATTGTTGGAGGATTAGTGCTGTATGGTCCTTTTGGAGATCTCTGTAGTATTTGCAGTAAAGGAGGACATGCTTGACTTGTTCTATTTCTCCAGATTCTCATGGAGATGGTCTTTCATGGATAGGTATTTTATTCTATCTGTCCTAGAGAAGGGCAGAAGGTAATCCAATGTCTAGCTCTGAAGAGTTCTTTCCTTAGGCTAGGAAGAGTTCACATGACCAAATAATTAGCAGGTTTCCAGACATTCAGGGTGATGAGCATTCTGGAACTCTATATTAGGAAGCTCATTTTGTTTTGTAATCCAGAAAATATTTTACCTTGGAGTTTTAGTTGCTTCTATTGTTTACCAGAACTGTCATAGTGTATTTACAATTAGAGAAATGTTCAATGTAGGGACACTTTCATTCAGTTTCCATCCAGCAGTCATTTTTCCATATTTTTCCCTTGATTCTCATGAATAATGACTATTTATTTATTCATTCATTCATTCATTCATTCATTCATTCATTCATTCATTTATGTATTTATTTATTTATTTATGTTTAGTTGGCCTATGGTTCTTTTGCACAAGAAGATTTTCAGACTACTAAATTATCTTCACTTTACTGCTTGGTCCCAAATGAGGACCATCAATACATTGGAGTTATACAACTTTTTCTCCATTTTGGATGGACATGGATTGGAGTCTTTGTTCTTGATAATAATAAGGGAGAACACTTTTTGCATAAACTGCAGGGAATGCTTTACCAGAATGGCATCTGTTTAGCCTTCACACAAAAAATTCCAATATTTGCCCGCTTTGAAGACATGACAGAACTGAGTGATAAAATCTTAGTTATTTCTAATAAATCGATAGATCAGAAAGCAAATGCTTTTCTTGTCTATGGAGAATCAGTTGCAATTGTGTGGCTCAGAATTGTCGTATTTCTATGTGATCCTGAAAATAAAGACAAGGCATTCTTTGGAAAGGTTTGGATCCTGATGAACCCAATTGATTTCATACTGACAGGCTATCAAAGGGGTTGGGATCTGCAGATGTTCCATGGGGCTCTTTCCTTTTCAGTTCATTCAAGAGAAGTTCAAGGGTTCAAAGAATT